ATATGTGATGCAACATATGCAAGGCAAACATACAATAAGACAAAAATAAGACATTATCAGTCGAGTCCACTCTTGATTCTCGATTTTAGGAGATGTGTTTATTCTGATTCATGCTGTAACTAAACATAGCTTTTTTGCTGGATCCCTTTTTTGCTGGTAAAGATCCCTTACCTTGCCAGCCAGGGTGGCAGGGCCCAGGAAAAGACAGGCTAGGTAGTTTTAGCTTGGAAGGCCTGGCAGAGAGCTGCTGGAGCCATCTTAGTTAAGGGAAAAGCTCCAGTTCAGAGAGGGGGAGTGGCCGAGGCCTGTGCCAGCCCAGCAACAGCCAGGATTGGTTTGTAGAAGAGGGGCGGAGTTAGGCAGTTGGAGGGAAAGAGAAGAGATAGGTTTTGACAGTTTTTAGTACAGCTGAGTTCTGAGTAGAATAGAGAGCAGTTTTAGTTCTGAGAGAGATTAGAATAGGAGTTGGATTTGTTTAGGAGTCTCTGTTTAGAATAGGCAGCTTGCCTGCAGTTTGCACAGCACAGTAGGCTGTGGCAGACTGAGTTACAGCTATTTTAGGAAAGAGAATAGCTGGGTTTTATGTTTAATGAATTGTAACAAAGGAAAGAACATTCTCTCAAGTAACCATTACGCTTATAAGAAACAAGACCACTTTTATTAGTAACAGCCAAGCCTCTGTACCTGCATTCACGTGTTATTCTGTTTTTGTAATCAATAAACTCTTTCTTGTTATTTTTAAAAGTCAAGCCTGAGTCAAGTGCTATTTTTGGTTTTGAGTCCCTTTCCTTATTGAGTCAACCTCTCCTGTTTTTCCCTCTAAGAAAGCCCTTGTTAATACACAGATTTTGGGTGGAGTAAAAAGCCTTTTTAATAATTTAAACAGCATTTTATCATTTTAAAATAGCCAGAGAGTTCGTGTTTCTTGATTTTATGGTGGCAGCGAAGGTTTTACACAACGTGACATCCCCTCAAACACTAGAATAGCCGAAGAGGTGTGAATTCCTTATTGAAGGAAGGACAGTGGTGGGATTCCTTGGTCCACCCTGTCCAGATAAGTCTCTGAGTCCTTATAGTGATCTCACTGGGAGACACATCTTCATGTCTCTGTGAAAAATTTGCTACTACTGAAATTTTTGCTGGGGAACATGGCACATGTGGAGTATGTGTCTTGCTTCCCAGGAGAAACAAACACCTGATAGTCATATGACTCTGCTGGAAAATGCCTCATGTATCATGAGGAATAACTTCCTGACTGTGAGAGCCGTTCAGCAGTGGAACTCTCTGCCTCAGAGTGTGGTGGAGGCTCCTTCTTCAGAAGCTTTTAAACAGAGGCTGAATGGCCATCTGTCAGGGGTTATTTGAATGCAATATTCCTGCTTCTTGGCAGGGGGTTGGATTGGATGGCCCATGAGGTCTCTTCCAACTCTTTGATTCTATGACTCTATGATTTCCAGAACAATTTAGCAATGGAAGAAGAAACCCAGAGGGGCACATACCTACTTTAGTTTTTCATCCATCCTTCAAGCAGCCTTTGAAATTACATCATAACTCTAGTTATGTCTGCTCAGAATTAGCTTACATTGAATTCTGTAGGATTTACTTTCAAGCAACTGAGGATTGCAACATTGTTTAAAGTCAAGAATAAACCAGAATTAAAAATGTTTTATCAATTTTTCAGAATTTCTGTATTTCAAATCGGATATACCCATATTTACTTGAATCTAATGTGCCATCAAATCTAATACACACCTCAATTTTCAAAACCCGAAACCAAAAAAAAGGATTTGTTGGCAATTGTAACACCCACCGGCAAAAAGTGCACTCTTTGTAATTTGGTCAAAAAGGTGTGCATTACAATGGTTGCATACTTATAATTCCTTCTTAAACAACAAATGTGTTAGAATACCAAAGTTTTCAGCAATGGAAAAGAAAACCTTGAGGTGCATCTATGCTCTAGAATGAATGCACTTTAACTACCCTGGCTCAATGCTATAGGGTCTTGGGGGTTACCAAAGATTGCTGATACCTCACCAAACTACAACCCCCAGGAAGGCATAGCATTGAGCCAGGGCAATTACATAAGAAATGATGTCCCTCAAATATGAGTTTCAGGTTCTCCTGAAGTAGCTTTCCCTTTTGCTTTGGCTCAGCATTAAAATCTATTATGCAAATGACAATAACTAAGATAAGAAATTGTAAACCAATATGCTAGTTAACTGACAACAAACAGGCAAGAAATACTTTTACAGTTCAAAGATATTAATCAAAGTTAATTCAGAAATACTGAACTCCAGAAGAAGCAAAGTATAAACAATTTCTAGACTATGTCACAAAACATGAGATCCTGCCTAAATACATTTCTCAGGATAATGATTGGAAAAGAGAGCTTCATATTCAGCAAAGGCAGAATGCAAACAGAGTATCTACAAGTATTTTTCCTCTGTCTCCACTCTTCTCTGTGTGGTAAATGTATTGCTCTTTGAATATCTAGTATGTTCTACTTGGGCTCTTTAGGAAATTATTTTGTGTGGATATTTCATTTTTGAAAATTCTGCTTAGATCTTTTTAAAAGTAAAATAAATCTTGAAGAAGTCTTTTATCGTATGAATAGTATCAGTGTAATATTCATCAGACACAGAAATACAGAAGCACTCTATTTAGGAAAGATGTCACATTGCCCACATTGCTATGCAATGTACAATTAGCCTGTATGCTAAGATAGCAAAGACATTGCTGTCATCCTCATTTATATCCCACCATTCCCTATAAGTAACAGTTTATGAAACTTTGCACTCTCTCCTATCATAATTATGTACATAGAAATACATATGAAGCAGTTCTGAGTTACTACGTAGCAGTGTATAGTGTTGGTGCAGATAACCCATAGGCCACATGTCACCCTCTATGACTTGCTGTGGGCCTACCTATAACTGAATTGTAAGAGGAAGTGAGTGGATTAGAGCCTTGCTCTGAGTGCTCACTATCTCTTAGCCTATTATACTACGGGGGGTAGAAAAATTATCCAAAGACTAGGGAAAAAGCGGGCTTCTTGAATGTAAGAAAACTTCAGTGAGGATTCTTCCAAGGCTTCTGTCTTGTTTTGCTCTCGTCTTCAAATAGCCTCAAGCTATTACCTAGCCCAGACTCACCTTTTTTCTGTTTCTCCCTCAATGGAGTAGCTGGCAAGAGGATAGGATGAGGAGGAATTGCCACAGGTTGGGATCTGATAACTGGTGTATTGATTATAATATCATTCTTCAAGACCTCCAGGGGACTCCTGGGAGCTCCTGGAAGACGCCTGCATCACAGTATTCTAGCAACGTTAGCCATTGATGGGTAACCTTCCTGGCACAGCTGCAGGTCTGATTTATAGGTTTCAGCAGTAGCTCGAAATGCATTAATGTATTTCAAAGGTATAGGTCAACTGTGTCCATTTCTAGACTGAGGGTGATGTGGTCATAATGAGTTACATTCCATTAAGGTTACTGTAAATAGTTTTTGGAAACCTCAGCTAGTCCACAATGTTGCAGTAAGGTTGTTGACAAGGAATTGTTACAGAGAGCATATACAGTAGCTCCCTTGTTACAATATAGTTTCACTGGCTACAAGTTCATTCCTTTACAGACACAGTTCAAAAATATAGATTATGACCTACGAAACTCCATATGGCTTACATACAGGCTATCTGAAAGATCATAAACTTTCATACAAGCTTGTCTTGAAAATTTGCAGGGCACAACTGCAGATATGAGCAAGGGCTTTATTGCTGGTTTGTCCCAGCCTCTGAAACTCACTACATAGGGAAGTTAGGCTGTGTTTCCTCTTTGTCTCCTCTGTTTCTGCCAGCTGGCACTGATATTTGCATCCAGGTAGGGTTCTGGAAGCAGACCTGGAAGTGGATTAGAACTGGATAAGTACTATATTTTTCCTGTGTAGTATAATTTGATTTTTAAGTATTCGTTTTATTTTTATTTTTTTAATGTAAGCTGCTTTGAGCCCCGTTTATGGGAGAAAGACAGGATAAACTTGAATGAATGAAAAGTGGGGGACAGAAAGATTACATCCTCTCGAGTTGATGTGACTACAAACATCCTATATGAGTAATGATAAACTATGAGGAAAATGGGTTGCTATGAGTTTTCCGGGCTGTATGACCATGTTTCAGAAGCATTTTCTCCTGATGTTTCACCCACATCTATGGCAGGTATCCTCAGAGGTTGTGAGATCTGTTGGAAACAAGGCAAGTGTGGTTTATATATCTATGGAATAGTGTTTCCTGTCTGGAATTACCCTGTTTTATGAGTCTTTATTCCAGACAAGAAACAATCAGGGCCAGCTAACAGCTCCCAACAAAGGATCCCCCAGGCAGGAAGCAGCCAGGCTTTGAAACTGCAAAGCTATTCAATACTAATCAAGGTGGCCCACTGCAACATTCACACTTGCCTCAAACAGACAAGAGTTCTTTGTCCTACCCTGGAGATTCCACAGATATATAAACCCCATTTGCCTAGTTTCTAACAGACTTCACAACATCTGAGGATGCCTACCATAGATGTGGGCAAAACATCAGGAGAAAATGCTTCTGGAACATGGTCATACAGCCCGGAAAACTCACAGCAACCCAGTGATTCCAGCCATGAAAGCCTTTGACAACACACATGAGGAAAATGGCTTTCCTTTTTGCCCACTGCCATTTAATCCCACTAACTCCCCATATGCATTTTCTCCAGAAAGTTGCCAAACAAGAAACCTCTACCACCTTTAAATGTGGATACTGATCCAATGGACTATACTATATTTGTTTATTTTTGGTGTAAATGGTTTTAGTTGGCTTATATTGATTTTAAATGTACAAGACTTGCAAAGACGGGTGGAGTATTTAAACACGTGAATAAATAAAAAGTCCCTTTTGTAAAACTTTTTGTAGTAGTTTACAGTGAGTCCATGCCATGATAGGAAAACAGCAATGCTTGTTTGAAGGTTAAGGGACCTCTCACCTGTGTGTACAATGGCTCATAGATATCAACTCCATTGTCCTGGCTGTGGGAAAGAGTCTCAGAACCCCGTCTCCAGATGAAGCGAGCAGGTGGATTGGAGTTGACTGTGCACCGCAAAAAGACGGTCTTCTCCTGGTAGAAACTGCCACGTACATCACTTATGGTCTGGTGGACAGTGAGAACAGGCTCATCCAAATCTGTAAGGACAGAAATGAAGGGAAAGGCCCACAGCAGATATCAATGAGTATCAAGGCTGGCCCAAGAATTTTTGCTGCCCAAGTCAAAAGCCAAAATTATGAACCTCCCACAAAAGCCAGCTGGATCACCAAATGAATCTGACTTTTAACATTTGCAATGGGATAAAGAGAAGCAACCTAATTTATGAGGTACTGGAGAGACCCGTGGATTCAAGAGAGATGACTGGGAAATAGGCTTTCAAAGCTCGGGAATTCCCATTCCAGAGAAGTTAGATTACTATCCTCCCTTGCTATCTTCTCACAGGCAAATAAAGATTGCTTTAATTGAAGAAGCCTTAGAGGGCTGGCTGCTCAAGTGGAATTGGTCATGCATAAAATGATAGGTTTTCCATTTGCTCTTTTCTTTTTCAAGGCTATGTTTTTAAACAATTTTTAATTTCTTGATTGTTTAATTACCTTTTTAATTATTTTGTGCTGTTAATTTTTATCTCCTCTATAATACCAATTCAACAGTGACTCACAAGGTTTCCTTTTTCACCCCAGCAGCAATGAAAATTTGGGCAAAATCTATTGCTGGTATTGCAGTTGATTGCTCTGGAGATTCTTTTATTCCACCTAATTTTATCTATTCTAAATTTTAGTACTGTTGCTTATATTTAATATGTTGTACTTGTATTGATTTTTTAATGTGAAAGATCTATGTGACAGTTATTTCATGTAGTACTTTTATATTGTTGGATTGCTGTATCTTATTATTATTATTTTTTTGTATAGAAATGGCCTATGGTTTGCACATTAATAAATGATTACTTTTGGTTATGTTCACTTCCAATAAACCAGCTTGAATCTTGAACTGGGGAAAAAGGTGGGATGATGATAAAGACAATACAACAGCTGATCCATCAGCATTTATCAGTGGATGCAATCAACTCGCTCTGCCTATTGGTAGTGCTGGCCCTTGTAATGCAGCCATTACTCCATGATTAAAGAAAAACAAAGATCACAAACATTCTCTTACCACTCATCCTACTAGAATAATTGGCTGCCAGATGGGAGAGTTTAGCAAAACTCAAACCATGGACTTCATGCTACCCCTGGTCTTCAAAAATCCCTTTAGATTCCATCATATTTTATAAATTAGTGTTGTCTGATGCCTTCAGGCAGGTAGCTAAACATGCCTCTTAATTTCCAACATCACCATTGACAAACAACCCACCTCAAATTTGGCTGAAAATGCCCAGAAAAATGCAAAATGTAAAGAGAATGCCAACATGGTCTTCCTTTTGCTCCTCTCTCATGTCCCATTATTTTTATTTTTCCCCACTGAGTAAAATATGCAGACTGATTTTTACACTTGGGATTTGAAAAAATCACATAAACATGAATAGAAAAAAATCATTTATTCATGCACAAGAAGATGAACTTGCCATTTTCTGAAATTCATTCCAGCTTTAATGGTGGCTTCTCACTCTGCAATCTTTCAACCTTCCTCCAGCAATGGGTACAGCCTTCTTTTCACAAAACAGTTGCTCTCTTCCTCTTCCCTAGACCTCCTCCACTTGCCTTCTTTGTCAATAATCACATTTTGAAAGAGGACTAAAGAAGATTTACCTGTCCCTACAAGGCCTATCTCACATAAAATATTCAAATGGACTGGGCATTCTGCCTCATAACAAGTCAGATGGCAAGATAAAATTGTAGAGGCATTACTTCTTAATTCTTATGTCTTGATATTTTATGCATCATGACTATTATTGTACCAGATGAAAGAAATCAAGTGGTTTTGTTTGTAATTATTTGGATACAAAGGGAACAATTTTAATAGCTGACCTTGGAAGCCAGGGTCATATAATGGTTTGCCAACTTTGGAGACTAAGTACTTGCTTGACCACGGGAACCCAATGGATGGTCTTGGGCAAGTTGCTCTTTCTCAGCCTGAGAAGATGGCAAAGGCAACTTCCCCTCTGACCAAATCTCACCAAGTTGTGAAAGCTTCACCTTAGGGTCACTATAAATGAGAAACAACTTGAAGAGACACTGACACACTAGCATAACAAATAGGTAAGATAGTTGCTGCTTTCTGTCTTGATCAGGACAGGCTTCTCGGGTGATGTGTGGCTTCGTTTTAATGAGGAGCAAATCCTTAAATGGGAATGAAGCTCTTTCTGCACCAGTAAGAATACTAGAAGACTTGTCTTGTTCTAGCATTGCTTTAGTATGCTTTGTTAATCACTTCCTCGGTAAACTGTATTCCTCCCTTTCTACACATTTTTAAATAAAAGATTACAGTCTTAACCCTATAGACTTTTTGAGTTCTTGCTCCTTTCTGTTAAATACAGCAGTTCCCACTGACACAATACTCAACCTAGTGTAGGACAGATTTATGCTTGGAACATACACACAGACTACTTACTGGCAGTATCACCTGAAAACTCTATAATGCCTGCAAATCAGTATATAGAGTAAAAAGCTGGATGAACCAATGGTTTGACTTAAAGTAGCTATGCTAGATGGGAGTATTCTGAGAAAAGTAGTTATAGTTTTTTTTAAACTTTTCCAAGCTGTTTTTTTTAAAACACAGGCACTCCAAATTGTCACATGCACATCACTAGTTGCCTGAAATAAATACTGCGAGGAAGAATTCTGCCATATGATTCTGTTTCTAAAGACATTCATTTGTCTTATCTTTATCCTTCTTCCCATGGATATTCAAGATCAAGCACATAGAGAAGCAAGGAGCTGTGGAATAAAATAGGATAATTCTCACCGTCCTTGTACTTTCCCTTTCCATTTACTATGTTCCCAATTATTAAGAAAAGACAAGGCTACATGACATTAATGAACCTTGTTGAGATGCTTCAAGGCTGCTGGGAGTGGGAAGTGTGAGCCTCTGAACTCAGTGGCATGGGTCAGGAATATACGGTAAAGGATCCAGTTTCTCCTTTCTTGAAAGTGAAAGATCTATGAAAGAAAATGAATGAAACTTCTTTGCAGTTGTTTACCTGCAAAGACATGAAGACAAATGGCTGATCCTATGTTCCAGCCCACCACTACTTCCTGTCCTTTCTATTCCACTGCTGTTTTTAAGACACATAAAGTAATGTATGCACCCTCCATCAATTACTTTTTTTTTTGGGTTCTCCTTCAATGAAAACTAGAATTTGATTGCTTGGAAATACCAGAACTGTAGTTCAGGCACATGGACAGAGCTGTTAGTTGGTGGTGATAGATAAAAGGTAAGAAGTAAAACACAGATATACCTCCAGTCTTAAAAGTCCTTTAAAACAAAACTTAGGGGATTCGGTTGACAGAAGTTAATTCTGATTCGAGCACTCCATTCAGCCTCTGCCAATCCTTTTATAACAGCACCTTCCCATATTCTAAGTGCCAAGACATGTGCCCTTTCTAAATCTGTATGTGTGTGTATACCCATAAATGTGGATGAGACTCTGCAATGACCCCAGATAAGGGTGGCAGACTCATTTGGAAGGATGATTAAGTTCCCCTGAATGGTTATGGTTCAGAACTCAATATATTTACTAGAATGTGCAGAGGGACTCTCGTTTAAATTAATGGGAGAATGAAACCTTTTGTGCAGTAACTAAACTTGGAGTTATTATTTTTTCCATTGCATTTTGATCGTATTCACTGTTCAAGGGAAAAAATATGCTCCCCAATGGGCTCATCACTATTTTTCTCCCCTAGCTGGGTCTATATTCTACTCTTTCTTTTTCTTTCTTTCATTTCCTGGTTAGAAGGACTTCAGGCCTGCCCCTCTTCCTTGTTCCATAAATTTTAAAAAAATTAAACATTTAATCAAGGACAATGAAGTAATTGAAAGAGCATTATTGGGCTTTAGAAAGAAATGCAAATTGGGTTGAAACAGGACTCAGCAGATGTAGTTATCTCAGCCTGGTTCTCTTATTTAATTTTGACATTTAAAGCAATTACAATATGAATTACACTTGCCACTTTTGTCTGTGAAATGTTGTTTCTAAATTCTCCTGTGTGGCAAGGATGTGATCCCCACTTCTCACCACACTCTTTGGAGTATTTGCTCAAAGCATCACTGTGCTTGAAGTAGAAGGCATGTAGGCATCAAAAATAAAATAAAATAAAAACTTGCTTTGAAGCACATTTTTACCCACATTCTCATCTCTGCAATCCTGTGGACTGGTTCTAACCTAGCTAGGTTAGTGGGATTTACTAGAGACTGAATACACTTAGGTCTGAATTCCATGTGTTGCCTGTGAGTTGATGACCAATAAAATCCATTTCAATTCTGTATTTCTGATTAAACAGAATAACAACAATTCTGTATTTCTGATTAAACTCATTGTGTTGTTGAAGGCTTTCAAGACTGGAATCACTGGGTTGCTGTGAGTTTTCCAGCCTGTATGGCCTTTGATATTGCTGTTTTTAAATTGTTTTAAATTGTTTTTAAATTGTGTTAGATTTTAGCCTGTTCTTGTAAGCTGCTCTGAGCCCCAGGGGAGTGGTGGCATATAAGTTTGAATAATAAATAAATAAATAAATAAATAAATAAATAAATAAATATGTTCCAGAAGCATTTTCTCCTGACATTTCACCCACATCTATGGCAGAGGTTGTTTCTGGAACTTGGCCATATTTATTTATTTACTTACTATATTTATATACCGCCCCTCTCAGCCCGCAGGTGACTCATACAGCCTGGAAAACTCCTGTTTCCTGTTTTCTAACAGGTCTGTGGGAAAATTTTGAGAGCCCTAGGAAGTTCATGTGTTCCTCTGGATTCAGCATCACATATTCTTCATAACTTTTTGCAGGTTGGTTGTTCTTTCCAGATATATTTCCCATACCATCATTACAGATTGAATTATCCGAGGATTACATTTCTGTAGCTGTACATCCTGTAAAGAAATAGTTGTAGCCATTCGGCATTAGTATGGTACTAAGTCATGGCGCAATTGGGGGGGGGGGGGAGCTAGTCACCCACATCTATAGTACTAATCTACAAC